CAAATATGATGTTATTTGGAAAACATAAAACAAATCCACTGGTGCAATTAATACTAGATAACGTAAACATAGTAAGAGTATATGAAATGAAGTTCCTTGGTGTGGTTTTAGACCACAACCTACTGGAAACCTCATATCACTCATGTAAAAGCAAAACTGGCTAAAACTATCGCAAAATATTGGGAAAAGCCAGACACATTCTGGACTACAACTCATTGTATACTCTATATAACACACTGATATTACCATATCTGATTTACTGTGTGGAGATTTGGGGAAACACGTACAAAACCAACCTACAGCCATTATGCATATTACAAAAAAGGGCTATAAGAGTTATCAATAATGTTGGATATCTTGAACACACTAATTTATTATTTTTGAAGTCACACATATTGAAGTTTACTGATCTGGTTACATTTAAAACGGCACAAATCATGTACAGAGCAAGACATAATCTACTACCCAGGAAATTAAAAACATTGTTCGTAGACAGAGAGGGTGGGTATAATTTGAGAGGAAATCTACATTATAAACAACTCAAGGTCAGAACAACTCTGAGAGGTATAAGTATAACAATCTGTGGGGTGATTTTATGGAATGGGTTGGAGCAGGAGTTAAAACAAAGCACAAGCATAATTCAGTTTAAAAGGATGTACAGAAACACTTTTTTGAAAAACTATGAGAATGAAGAGAGGTGATTGAAGATGAGAAATTATTGTAAATGTATGTATAAATGTAAAGATGGGAGTAGGAATAACTTGCAGAAAGGATTTAAAGGATAATCATTGGTTAGCAGTAAGTAAGGGGTGGGAATTAATAAGCATTTGCTTCCTCCTGCTCCCTTTCGGACACTTATTATTTATTATTATTATTATTAATATTTTTGTTGAATATATACATATTATTATGAATATTGATAAATACTGTATTCTAACAATACGGTATTCTATTTTTCACATTTATTATTTTGTATTTGTTTTTTGTTTTTTGAAATCTGTTCGAAATAAAGATGAAAAAATGAAAAAAATATATATTGCAGTCTCAAGATTAATCTAAAACTATCCTCCTAAGAACTGTCATTCTCCTACAATATATAACATGTATATTACAATATAAACAGTGTTGTATTAGTATGAACACTGGATTGCACAGTTAAAGAGAGCTTTAGCTGGTGAATTAAGTTCAGTACAGTCTATTGAAGCTCTTGGGGAGAAGCGAAACAGTCTGCTGGCCACAGGCAGGAGGAACTTCCCGTGGTGCGTCTTAGTATCCTATCAGTGAACCTACTAACCTATCATCTAATATGCCATCAACACACGCTCTAACCCTCCCCTGTGTGTGTGCAGGCCGGTGGTGGTGAAGCGGCACATCTCCTGGCGCCTGGCTGCCTGGGGGGTCCCTCTGCCCGGCCACCTCCAGCTGCTGGCTGTGCAGAGGGCCGGCGCCCAGGCTGAGAGGAAGAAGCTGAGCCGCGGAGGCCTCCACAGGCAGAACCTCGCCAAGATGCGCTTCTCCCCCACAGAGAAGCGCTACGGACACTTCAAGCAGCCCTGCCAGCGCCTCTGCAACAACTAAACAGGAAAGGGGGGGGGGGCTTCAAGGTGCCTCCACCACAGCCCAGTTGTGCAGCACAGTGCCTTGACTCTGACTTACTCAGGTTTTCAAACCATTGTTTCACCTCACACAGATAATTTAGCATAAAGCAAAGCACAATCAGACTCACCACTTCCTGTGCAATCTGATTTAAATGTCATTATCCTGCACTGCAGCTGAAACCACTGAGAACAATCATTCTTGGACTCCTGATAACAGTCCGTCCCTCAGGACGGAGAGCATTAGTTTAGATTCCTTAGATATAACCAGAGGTAGGGCTTTTAGGAAGAGTTTGTGTGTGTGTGTGTGTGTGTGTGTGTGTGTGTGTGTGTGTGTGTGTGTGTGTGTGTGTGTGTGTGTGTGTGTGTGTGTGTGTATGTTTTTTCTTGGTTTTATTCAGTATGTATTATTTTATGTGCCTTAGTTTTAGATGTTCTTCTAACAAGTGTTTTAAAGCTCGTACCATGCCACGGTGAGCTGTACAGTAATTATGTCGGGTGAAAACCCCCGGGTTTGTGTTTTGATTACCCACTATTTTCACGTCACAGAAATTGTTCATTTTAGACGAGTGTAAATACAGTCGAATATTATGTTTTTCTATGAGTGTATTTATAAAATGTACAAAAAAATGAAAGTCTTGTTTTCTTAAGCTGGTGTCTGAAGGTCTTTAATGTGGCAGCAGACACAAGACAAACACCTTCTCTGTTATTGTCGAAGCTCACGTATCTTTTCCATGAACCTCTTCACTCGCTCCGGGTCGACGGCGTTGGCCCAGTGGCCCCCCTCCTTGAAATGAGAACCGATGATCATCCCATTTGCACCAATGTAGCTTTCAATGTTGTCATAGGTTACCCCAGAACCAATCAGCACTGGGATCCTCACAGACTTGGAAACCTCTGCAAAAACAAAGAAACATCTGAACAGGGGTAACTACTCCAACTCTAAGAAATGCACATATTTAATGATACACTTGAAAAAATAAAGAAAATAATAAATGATGACTTATGGATCTTTTAAAGGGATAGTGGTTTTGAATTGAGCTTATGTAAGGTAGGTATCCATATTAAGTGTATCCTGAAGATGTTTTTTATGCTGTCTTCAAATCCACCAGATTTTATTAATCTTTTTGAAAAAAAATTTACTTTACCTTGCAGAACTTGTGAGTCTCTAGCCTACAATAACACACACACAAACAAACTGGTCAAAGTAGCCTTAGACCAGCAACCCTCGGATTCTGTTAAGTTTTTTTTAATGGAGTTTAATGGCTTTTGCAAGAGCACATCAGAGACAAATAACAGCTTTAGTTTCCCGTCAGAAAGGGCTGTCTCCATGCAAGTTACAGAGGTGAGAATAATTTGAATATAACATACTCTTTACCCATTTATTTTTTAAGGGTGGGCCTCTTATTTTTTTTGATGGATAAAAGCAGTACATTACTGCTGGTGTGCTGATGCAATTACTGCAGATAGTACACCGACTATAAACAAGTACCTAAAATAACCCCACCTCAAAACATCCAAACTATTCCTTCAAAGCATACAACAACTTGATTTCCTTTCCTCACCATCATATGCACATGGATGCATCTCAAATGTATTCTATTCAAATCCACACAAACAGTTACTGTCAAATGTGGTAATCTGAGATAATTTATTATGTCGATGCAGCATGCTATTTTTTCAGATCTGGATCCTATCCATATATGATAATGTTAATGAATGTCAGTTGCCATGGCGAGAGGAGGCTGTGGCACACCCAGGGAACTTTGGACATTTGGCATGTGAGCTCCACACAGGACACAGGCTTGTGGTCCCGAGATAGAGCGTGCATGTGTGTGTGAGGGGAAAAGATGGGGTGAGTGTGTGCATGAAACCAATCCTGTGTGTGTGTTAGGCTTAGAGTGTTTAGAGTCGTGTTATAGACTAAAATAGCAGGCCTGGTATCGCTAATATAAGAAGGACATGGTCCAGATTTACAACCCTCTGACTCTCTGCAGATACAAACGGCAGGGCCTTCAGCTCCTAGTGGTCACTGATTAAGCCACTGATGGAAGCAGTATTCAAATTCTAAATATATATGGTGAACATGTTAACTATAAATATCTAAATGAATCATCCCCAGTTGTTTTGTATTTATAAAAATATATGTTCAAATCTGCATATGTGGCATTTTCTTATTATACAGTCGTTTGCATAAGTTTCCAGAAAATAGATCTGGAAATTGTAAAAGACAGTTTCATAATACTTGTTTTATTTTGTTAATATATGAGTTTAAGGTTCTTCCAGAAGATATTTGAAAACCACACATAATAATCAACACCAATTTACTAGTGCCGTATGATGTTTTCAGCTGTATTCTTATCGTATTTTTTTTTATTCTAATTGGATGTTCTTGACCTTAACTTTGCCTTTATATGATTTCCTCTGCATGTAACTGTATCCACCAAACAGCATATCAGAATGGCAGTGAGTCACCTACCTGCCAGTAATCCTTGTTCTGAAGCTATATTAGTAAAAGGTCAACGTGAGTTGGGTATCACTACAGGACACTTACAAAATGAGTTTGATGATAAGAACATATTTTCATAGACTTTGACCATAGACTGTTTCTATATAAAGGGCTTTACTAAAGGTGAGGGTGACCTCTGCTGGACGGATGAGGCAATGACTAAAAATGACTTAACATTACGGTCGACAGCACAAAATGGCTATAATATATGGTGGAGAATATCTGAGAAAGTAACTAATTGTCATTGTAATTATTTTGACTGACACTGCGGCTGAGATATGATTCACTATATTTGAAGGATTGATCATTTTTGTATAGTTTTTCTGTACCAAACAATTTTGTTATTTTTTAAGTCTGGGGAATGTAGGCCGGGATATCTCTGCTGCTCCACAAAACTTTATTCAAAATGGTATTTGAACACACACTTTACGAGACCATGTTGATTAACTGTGCAGCCCAAGGATAGTATTTCTCAAATCTGGGGAGTTACTGCAAATTTAACATCAAGTAGACTCAATTATGCATTGACAAGATTAATGTCAAATCAATCCAATGGATGTTGCTAACAGATTGTGTTTCAGGCCTGTGTTGTTAACTTATAGGATGATTAGGTGCTAGGCAGTGCCTGATAAAGCGTTGATGTGCTCCTGGCAGTCTGGAGGGTGCGGTACCTCTGAGCTCCCGCAGGTCAACCTGCTGTCCTGTAGCTGCTCCTGTGATGATGAGTCCGTCTGAGAGGAAAAACTCTGCTGCATGTGCCGTCTCTTCAATGCTCACGTCTGAGGTCAGGGCATGGGAGCTGGGGAAACAAACACACAGTGTACATACACAAGCAGGAGATGGCCGAGTAAAACTGTCTGGAGATAAAACTTTGACTGGGAAGACCATAGTTACATGAATTCCATTACACTGTAAAACGTTCTTTATAGAACAACATAAATAAAAGATTAGTGACATGTTATCCTGTACAAGTCTTAATGGCTTTCCCTTTTGTAATAAGTTTATTTGACAACCAATGGAACGCACATTTGTCAAGGCTACTAACAAACTGAAACACCTCAAATCTCCAGATCTAATATTTATCCACCCAGTCACTATAAATCCTCTTTTCTAACAGGGGGGCTTGGTTAGTACTTGGTCTTGCCCTTGCCTATTATTTCAGCACACTCGGTGAAATGTTTAAGTAAACGACTAAAGTTGTTGCAGCTCTTTTTTGCATCTAAGCGGCACTTATAATTCTAGTTACTAATGAAAATGGAGAGATGGGGATCTCACCTGTGCTTCTTCTTGATGTCGGTAAAGATCTGCACATGCTCAGCTCTGATCTGTTTGCGGTACCTCAGTAAGTCCCCGGCGCAGGCGTTCAGGATTCCTTCATCAGCCACGTGGGAAAAGACGAAACCCTCGGCCCTGATGAAGTCCAGACCTGTGAACATAGAGTAACATTTGAACACTATGATCCACTAACAAGCAGCCTCTGTGTCAGATACAGGTTTCTTTTGACCAGAGGTTCAGAAATCAAGTACATTTACTCAAGTACTGTACTTAAGTACAGTTTGGTCTGCTGCATATTACTTGAGTATTTCCATTTCATACTACTTCCTACTTCTACTTTCCCCTAATCATTTGTATGATAGTTTTAGTCACTTTGAAAATACATATTCAGATAAACTATACTAAATATAATCAACATATAATTGATCATGTGTTATATATACTATATGGATCCCTTGGGGAAATTCACAAGCTATAAGGCAGTATATATTGTAAAATGATAAGAATACAATTGTCCGTCTTGATTAATCAGTAATGTTTTTTGTACTTTAACTATATTTTCATGCTGATACTTTTAATACTTTACCGCGTGTACTGTGGTATTCCTACTTTTATTGTTTTAAATGTTCTTACATAAAACACTAAAGGACAAACACACAGCATCTTATTTGACTGATAAACACACCTTAAATCATGAAACCCGACCAGACCGTAATGAGCTGATATTAGTCAGAAAATCTGTTTACAGTTGATCTGATACATGATTGATATACCTATGTTCTAAACGCTTTTACTGCAGATGGTTACGGCATTATATATACAGCACAACGATCATTCAACGATGTAAAGACTGAACCTGAAGCCAGGGCGACTGCCAGGGCCTGCTGGTTTGCAGAGGACAGTATTTGCACTCCGAGCGGCAGCTGTGGACAGATGTTCCTCACAGCCGAGCACACTGCGGTCAGACAGGCCGTCACCTCAGGGCCCACAGAGAACGAGTAAGGGATGTCATGCATGTTCTCGATGACCACAGCATCCTGAAGAGGGGTTCAAAAGTAACTGTACTGGCTCGCTTAAGAATACTTAATGTGTTAGGAATTTACACAATGTACAATAACTTACAATCCCTGCATCACGGTAGATTTCTGCCTCCCTGCAGGCTTCTTCTGTGATTCGGGACATTTTCATACAGCCCAGGGGGGTGCCTGTGATAGACATCAAATATGGAAACAATAAGTAAGAGAAATGACAAATAAAAGCTCCCAAAGGTAACCAAATACCTTTACCTGAATACTGCACCTATAAGTATACATTTGAAATATTTGTACTTTTCTTAAATAGATTTTTACTCTAATTTGCTATCGTACTTCAACAGTCAGCTCCAAATAATATGCTTTTACCTGACCATGTTAATTTGAAATATAGGATTTCACAGACAAAATGATATGACAGTTTTGAAAGGAGTATTTTTGCAACCTTTACTAGATCCTGAGGCGCCCAAAGAAAATACAGTACGACCCAGAAAGAGGAAGGCAGACGTTGCCATTGTAAGTAGTCTGAATAATATAATAGGCCTAAACCCCATGTTTCAGGAGTGTCTAGGTTGTCACATAAGTTCATAATTGCTGGCAAAAACTTGTATATGCAGCTGGATTTAATAATGATTTGTATTAGTGCTTACAAAACAAAACACCTATGGGAAAATGTGTAGTTTCTACTTTTCACCAGCTGGAGATTGATCTGATTTATGTGTGGGTTTTGAAATACAGACAAATGACCTTTACAACCTTTACTAGAGTCAATAAACTGAATAGTTCATTTACAACAGCTAAAATGTAAATGTTAAGGGTCAGGTCAGTCTTACCTGGTAAAGCTTTAACATGAATCATTCCAATAACCACAGATTTTAGTCGCCCAAAAAGGTTCAAAAACGTCATGTTGCCGTTTTTGTGGGGCAACCAGTTGAGCAGAGACAAATAATCTTGCTTTTTGTCTTTCTAAGCATGTGGATCACGTGACTGGCCAAGGGTCAGTTTTGTTTTTGAGCAAAATCAGTGATAATAAACTATCTTTAAAATCCATATCAAACCAGTAGTGCCTAAAACAATTATTTATCTTACATAACGCCATCACCTGAAGTAAAAAAGTATTTAGCAGTGCAGAAAGTGTGTTAAAACAAAAAGCTTTACGTGGATATAATAGGGAGATAGCTGGAAATGGGCGGTAGAAGCATCCGCCGGATAACATAGTTCTTTTTTTAACCAAAATAACTGATGCGCCAAGCGTGACAGCGCAAGACAGCCATATTTGGAGTTCACGGAATAAACGTACCGAGTTACCTCACAACATTATGGTCGTATTTCATTGTATTTTAGGCTTAAATCTAAGCACTACGGCTTTGTTTACATCTGACAGACTAGCCACGCGGTGCCCAAGCACTTCCTCTTTGGAAGCCCCGCCCCTGCAGCTGTCACCGCGGCAGACACGCCTCCAGTTTTGCCGGCAAATTTATAAACTCATTTCCCCTCCTCTTTGTCATAAAACATATCGATTATATACTAAACACGAATTCTGTACACGATAAGGATGCGAAACGGTGGTGAATTGGGAGAGAGTTTGATTACAGAGAGGCGGTGAAGCTGTGAGTTTAGCGCCAAGTGAAATCCACTCCTCTCTGACGTTGATGCTTCAAGTCATCTGTTCACTACAAGGCGCCAGCTCAGAGGAACTAGCACGGCCTGGGTACACGCACACTCGGACACAGAGAGCACCACTGCATCCGAACAACAGGCTGTGAAGTTTTACATTATACATATTTAATTTTGGACAAGAGTGAACTTCAAGGGCAGCATCTTGAGGTGAGTGGATAATACGAAACTGTACCATTGCATCGTGTTTGGGAAGCTAGGTGCAACTTTTATTGCTAAGCTGAATTGAATGCTAACTAAACCGCAGCAAGTTAGATACTGGATTCAAGGTTTTTATGGATTCTCGTACTTAAATGCCTGGTGTTATTACTGTTAATGTTAAATGTTAGATTGGGATAATAGGCGTCTCAGCTGTGCCCGTCGTTCGGCCATTATGTGGCAAGCCAGCTGTCCATATTTAGTGGGGGAAATAACCGGTTTCCCATCAAAAATGCGCTAAATAAAAACCTCGGGGGGCTTATAATACATCTTGTGTTTGCCACCGATTAGTTTCGTGAAGAAATAGCATTGTTTGGTACTTTTTAAGCGACTTTTTACATTGAGTACTGTTTCCATTTCCCCGCGCCAGGCTGAGTTGGGCTTTGTCAGAAGGAGGGAGTCGAGAGTGGGGGTTGGGAGTGTATGAATGTGTTGTTTTAAACCCCAAATAACAAACGTTTTAAACACTTCTCATTCACAGGTTTACTCTGAAACTGACACATACCCCTCTGCGTATAATGCGAAGACAACGGTGAGTTTCATACGCATTTCATTCATGTCTATTTTAAGCGCGTCAATCAAAGTGTGTGACGAGAGAGAAAAGTTGATGGAGCTTTAGCCATCCGGCTAGTTAGCTTGTTGCTATTTGTTTTAGCCCGCATTAACATATTAGGCCAAGCATGTTAAACTGTTTATGTCGGCTCCGGAGACTAACTGCAAGTACGTGTTTGTCTTTTGTTGTTATAGGGAAGACACAGAAGCGAAGTCTGTAGCTCCCGGGGCGTTCAAAGAAAATACAGTACGACCGAGAAAGAGGAAGGCAGATGTTGCCATTGTAAGTAGTCTGAAAGGCTCACAGAGCAGCCTATAATGGGCCTAAACCCCATGTTTCAGGTGTGTCTGGGTTGTCACAAATGTTCATGATTGCTAGCAAGTAGTGTCTGTGCTTCATTGGAGTATTTCTTGTACAACTGATATTGCTGGATTTAATAATGATTTTCATTAGGGCTTGCAAAACAAAACATCCCTGGCTGGGGCAATTAGCAGTTTCTACCTTTCACCAGCTGGAGATTGATCTGATGTATCTGTGCTTTGAATGGAAGACAAATTGAACTTTAAAATATGTCCATTTTTGATCCTCAGTATTTACAAGATCCTGATGAGGAGGTAGCAGAGATGACGAAGAAGAAGCAGCGTGAATGTGAGGTAGGCATAACCCACCCCTAACTAAGTTCACCTTTATATACATTTTGGTTACTAATTCTTGCCACTTGGCTTGTATTTGATGAAATGCACAGCTGGTATATAAGTAGGTTGCTCATTCCCAAAGTAATGTTTTGGGGTTATTCTGCCTTATGATCATACTTCATCAATTAAACCCATATTAATGGTATCTATAGTTCATTTTTTGACTGTAATATAAACCATCCGGCTTATTGAGTTGTCCGGGCCAATACTGTGCCCTCCCCCTCTCATTTTTCATTCCTCACATCTCTGCTCTCCCTCTTTCCTGTAAAGCCGGGCTGGAGTCCTGATGCTGGTTACACAAGTCCACAGAGGTGCATCCCCACACCTGATCAGGAAGAGGACCCGCCCGTTGCCCTGATTAACGCAGGTTTCCCCCACTACAACTTCCACAACGTCTATGTAACGCCTGTACGGTGCGCGCCGCTTCCTGCCCTGTGGTGAGTACTGTTTTTAGAATAATTATCTTACAGCAACCTGTTTGATATAATATAGCACATGTCTTTCTCTGTGGCCCCTTTTCTGAGGTTGTGGCTAATAGTAGTTGTTGTTGCTGGTCTTGTGGTTAACATGTCTGCCCATAGAGCATCAGACTACTGCTTAGCACATGTTGCACAACAAGGGGGACAGTCATGAGTTAAATATTTGATGTTTTACAATTTTTTTCTTTTTATCTATCTCTATTTTGTTATCAGCTGGGCCTGTAAGGATGTCGTGTGGAACAACATGTTGGAGAAGGACAAGACGTACGCCAAGGATGTCCATGTGATGGAGAAACATCCTCACCTACAGCCCAAGATGAGAGCCGTTCTCCTGGACTGGCTCATGGAGGTGTGTACTATGTCCTTGTAACTAGTCTAGAATTTGTCTCCACCTGGCTTCCATTTTGACCATTTACGCATTATAGGTGGTAAAAGGAAAGGCTGTGTGTATAACCAACTACTGACTTGCCTTTCCTGATTGAATTGGCTAGACAGCAGGATAATACAAAAGCTAGAACCTTAAAGAACATCATACAATAAGTTTCATGACTGTAAAAAGCCCGACAACACTAATGCCTCTTACTGGTGCTGAGCTGGACAATTAATCTAATTATTGAGAAAATACAAATGTGTTTTTTGGGTTATTATCTGTAAACACCCTGTGGTACAAACCATCGAGTAAGTAAGGGATAATCAAGGTCCCTCTGCTTCGTGCCGGGCTCCGTGTTCTTTTTCCAATAATGACTGCCTCGCTGCACATTATCCCGCTACACGGCCACAGACTAACGACTTGACTCCCGTATTGCTTACGCTAAGAAAATAAAACTCCATTCCACGGTGCACCAAAAGCTGGAACTCCGACAACAACTTAATTTAAAATGAAGACGGCTCTGATTGATGTTTTCTGTGACTGTCCAAGTCTGTTTACAGATTATTTTCCACAAACAAGTCCTTAAACATAGGACACACAACACACACAATCATTTATGGTGCATGTCCTCCAAAATCTAAATGCTTTTCAATCACTTCTAAATCTTGCATTTGTTTGGGTTTTTTTTTTTTTTTTTTTTTTATAATAAAGGAAAATGGAATAGTAAAAAGGTAAACATGGCTGTTCCATCTTACAGTAACAAAACGTTGTCATGTGATGAGCTTCTCCCGATGGGTACTATTTCATCTTCCTGATGCCACTTCATGTCCATAGTGCCATCCATAGTGCCAGTGTCATGGGGCGGCCCTATTCCTGCATTAATGTTCTGTTTGTGTTTTTAGGTGAGTGAGGTGTACAAACTGCACAGGGAGTCTTACCACCTCGCCCAGGACTACTTTGATCGCTTCATGGCCACCCAGAGAAACGTCTTCAAAACCACGCTGCAGCTCATAGGCATCACCTGTCTCTTCATAGCTGCTAAAGTAGAGGTGAGAAGGGTTGGAGAATCAAGGAGAAAATCTAACCCTGTGCTTCAATAAGAACCCTGTGGTTATTTTTGGCCTTTTGTTGGATATATCATTGTACTCTCACTGCCCCTTCCTCCTGCAACATCTTCCACTCGTTGGTTTGGTATGAGTGGTTGTTATAAAGGTTGCCTCCTGTGTCATTGTGTCCCTCAGGAGATGTATCCTCCCAAGGTCCACCAATTTGCCTATGTTACAGACGAAGCCTGCACCGAAGATGAGATTCTCAGAATGGAAATCATTATTATGAAGGTAAAAACACACACACACACTTAGCTCACTGACATCAGTAGGATCTGCTCTGTATTTGTCCAAATATCATATAGCCAAACTAACCAACTGATGATATTTTGGTTTATCTCGCGAACATAGTAAGTGTCTTGTTAAAATATGCCTTGGTTACCCAAGTCACAAACGGTGCGTGTTCTCTTCCCTTCTTGTATTATTTTACAAATACATCAATCCCAGGGTTGTTTTTAATAACTAAAATAAGCACTGAAGAATACTTGCAACGGAAAATAATACTAACGCATCCTCCTATTACATTCAGCATCAAATTGACCCGTATTCAATTTTGAAAATCTACGATAAATACTTAATACTTTTTGTATGAAACTTCTTCTACTTGCCTTAATTAGTGCTATAAAAAAGTAAAATGGTAATGGTTCATGTCATGTATTTGGAACCCCCCCCTGCATGTTTATATCACAGAGATTGACCCGGCAGTGAAAGTGGAGACTCAGAGGGGTCAGAAATGCAAATGGGACACACACACACACACATATATATAAATAAATAAATATTAACGCATTTTAATCGCACTTATTTTTGCCTTGCGGAACGTTTCTCACTGGATGAGTTTCAGGCGTACCGATTATACTGGAGCACCAACTAACGTTCATGACTTCAGACAACAACAAACCACAGTGAACAATAGTCAAACATGAACGGGGGGGGGGTGCTAGTGGATCGCCGGAGCTAACATTAACATGCTTATTGTAGTTGTAAGTGCACTGCCTTGCGGCCTGTAGCACCGTCCTTGATGGAGCATATGTGTGGACTGGACCTGTATTTTACAGGAAAGGAGTGAGTAGAGTAGTTGTCGATTCTCGTATCTGTTTTCTGTGAATATCTGCCTCATCCTCTCAGACTTTGAGTTGCGCGCGCTACTAAAGAGACGTGTTACCATGAAAACCAAACAATGGTGTAGCTGTATTAAAGTCCGAGTGGAAACAATCGTGTGTAAATCTGATTTTGTCAGAAATCG